ATCTCGGGAGGGAGAGAACCAGCCAATGGAAGACCCCCTCACTTTCTGTAACTCTGCCTTTTTATTAAATAAATCAATCTTGTTAAAAAATGGAGAGTTTTATGTGATAGTTAGAAGTTCTGATGTGCTGTTCCTCCATAGCATGACTATAGATCATGATAATGTGTTAAAAATAAAAGAAAAAAGAAACAAGATAGAAGATTCTGAATGCATTCACCACAAAGAGATGATAAACATTTGAGAGAGAGATGTGTTTACCCTGATTTGAACACTGTATATATATATATATATATATATATATATCAAAGCACTAAACAGTGGCCCACAAATTTGAATAACCTTTAGTATCAGTTAAAATAAATAAAATATAACTAAATTGAAAACTTTGAATTAAGGATGAAAAATTGACCTCCATGTTAACTGTTCAAAAACAAAATCATTTTACACATTGCTATCTATACAAATGTTCATGTTGGAGCCAGCATTATGGCATAGTAGGTAAAGCCACCACCTGGGATGCCAGCATTCCATACAGGCAGTGGTTCCAGTCATAGCTGCTACAAATCCCACCCAGCTCCCTGCTAATGGCCAGAGGACTGCAGCAGCAGATGGCGCAAGTGCCTGGGCCCCAGCCTCCCATGTGGGAGATCTGGAAGAAGCCTTTAGCTCCTGGTTCCAGAGTGGCTCTGTCCTGGCCATTGTGGCCACTTGGGGAGTGAACCAGCAGATAGAAGATCATATATATATGAGGGGCTGGTGCCAGGGTCCAGCAGGTTAATCCTCCACCTGTGGCACCGGCATCCCATATGGGTGCTAGTTCTAGTCCCAGTTGCTCCTCTTCCAGTCCAGATCTCTGCTGTGGCCTGGGATAGCAGTGGAGGATGGCCCATGTGCTTGGGCCCCTGCACCCTCATGGGAGACCAGGAGGAAGCACCAGCGTAGCTCCAGCCGTTGTGGCCATTTGGGGAGTGAACCAACGGAAGGAAGACCTTTCTCTCTGTCTCTCTCTCCCTGTCTGTAACGCTACCTGTCAAATAAATAAAATCTTAAAAAAATTTTATATATATATATATATATCCCTCTCTCTGTAACTCTTTCAAATAAATAAGTAAATCTTTAAAAAATATTCATATTGTTTTTAACAAAGACACTAACAGCAGCAGGAAAATTTACATTTTAAGATTATATTCTCTAGAAAGGAAAACACTAAATATTACAGTTCTTGAGTTTTTCCTTACATGAAGTAGGAAAGAAAAAAATAGAAGGAAAGATGTCAATTTACTTTGCCTTGGAGAGTCAGAATATGCCTCAACACAGCAAATATTAAATGCACATAGAAGGAACTGGTCCCTGAATTGACAGAAAAATCTGTCATCCACAAAATAAATCAATCTTGGCACACAGGTGAAAAACTATCTCAAGCAAAGTGATGGATGGAGGATTGTGCCCTGATTCATGTAAAAATATTAGTTTTATTTTTATCTTTCTGAAAAAACTCGCCCCTGGTAGTCCTTTTATGTGGGTATTTCTCAAGTCTTCTGGTCTGAGTTAATTTTGGGGTGTAAATATTTCATCATTCCACAAGGTGCTATGGCTCACAAATAATAGTAGCCATACTGTAAAACAGAGCTATGACTTGAATATTTATAATTTAGAAGTATTTTAAAGCACAAATTTAACTTAACCACTCCTTAAAGTGACACTTGAAAACTCCATCAAGTCTATACGTTATTAAAATTGTATTTAAAAAGGACAGTTTTTTACAGAAGATTTTAGATTTATTTTACAAATTGGGAGTTTGTATCAGTTGAAGTATTACATCTAGGATCACATTTATATACTCTAACATACTAGAGCCATTATTTGAATTCACTCACTGAACAAATCATTCATTCAGTCATTCAACCGTGATCTGTGGAATATGTTACTACCTGACATGTGTCAGCTACTGTGGTCAGCAGTTGGGTAGGAACCGAACAACAAGCTGAGAAAGTCAGCAAGACTGGTGTGGTCCCAGCCCTCCTGAAGTTGACAATCCAGCATGAAAACATTTCCAACCTCGTGTGAAGAGGCCACGGCGAGAGATGACAGTGTTCCTAACAGTACAATAGTCCCCCTTTATGCACGGTTTTGACCTACAGGGTTTCCGTTACCCTCAGCTAAAACACATTAAATTCAAAATCCCAGAAATCTACAACCCAGAGGTTTTCCCTTGCGTGCAGTAGGTTAATCCTCTGCCTGCAGCGCTGGCATCCCATATGGGTGGTGGTTCAAGTCCCGGCTGCTCCTCTTCCAATCCAGCTCTCTGCTATGGCCTGGGAAAACAACAGAAGATGGCCCAAGTCCTTGGGCCCCTGTACCCGTGTGGGAGACCCAGAAGAAGCTCCTGGCTCCTGGCTTAGGATCGGCCCAACTCCAGCTGTTGCAGATGCAAGACCTTTCTCTCTGCCTCTCCCTCTCACTGTCTGTTACTGTACCTCTCAAATAAACAAACAAATAAAATCTTTAAAAAAAAAAAAAGCCCAAGAGCAGTGGTGACACAAAGCAGATGCTAAGGCCTGTAGCATGGAGAACAAAATGACTCTGGTCACGGGTGGGAATGCCGCAGGACACAGGGAAACCATGGCACCCACTGCGGGTCTTGGAACTTTTCCCCTTGGATCACGGGAAACTCTGTAGACAGGAGAGAATTTCAGTCAGACCCAGGAATCCAGGCACTGGCTGCAAAGCCTTCCCAGGAAGGATTCACTGAAACTGCAGGCGATGGATTCAAACATCAGGAAGCTGGGAATGCTTTGGGTAGAGATGCTCTTCCTACATCGTCCCTCTAGGAATGGGGCGCTCGGAAAGGGATGGGAACAGAGTGTGTTTGGTTTAGAGAACCTGAAGCGCATTTCGAAGAGTCTGGTCAGCGATCAGGGGTGGGACAAATCATGCAAAGACATTCAGGCTCTGTCAAGGAACTTGCATTTTATTCTGAGGCTGAGAGAGCTTTGGAATGGTCTTGGACAAGGGAGTGAGAGAATCATATCTGATTTTAGAGAACACACAGAGGTCACGGCTCGGAGTATGACCAGATACTGGAAGGAGGGTTAGGAGGCTTGAGCAGAGATACATGTGAGTTGGATGGTAGCCCAGGTCATGAGAGAGGTGGGTGTGGGGAGAAGTGAGATAGTTTCAGGGTATCAAGTCCCTATTGAAATGGCTGAAACTGGTCCTTGTGAGATCAGTTTATACAAGGGTATGCAGTTGGTGAAAGAGCACTCAAGGGACAGCAGCAGAGGAAGCCTGGCCTGGACAGGACAGCAGGGCACCTCCATGAGGAAGGGTGGAGGAGAACCAGACGGTGACGCAAGCTGAACAGTGGGAAGGGATGTGGGCTGTTCACTCAGGAGTCATTACTGTTGACCACACCACGTGCTGCCTCACAGGAGCATCATTTGTGAAACCAACAAGCAAACATTTGTGAAATCAGTGACTTAACTTCGTAAGCATCGCTGCACCTAAGGCAAGAACACTAGGTTGGATACTGGGGTGATATAAAGGGACTTCAAAAATGGAAAATGGAATTACAACTTTATGTTGGTGCAAATATTTTTGTAGTTCATTTTTTTCCCCACAGTATCCATTTTGCAAGAATCTTTTGAGGACTCCTGTACAAAAGAAAAAAAATACTCTTTATCTTCAGAAAGTTCATATAACAGCAAGGAGAGGAAGACATGCATAATTACCCTTAATGTATGACAGCTAATGAAATTGCTCAAGAAAGCTCCAGAGGAAGAAAGATCTACATAGACTGTGAAGAAAAAGTAGAGAGAAAAACCATGTTTCTGGGGCCAGGGTTGTAGCGTGGCAGGTTAAGCCAACGCCTGCAATGCCCACATCCCATATGAGCTGGTTTGAGCCCCGTTTGCTCTTCTTCAATCTAGCTCCCTGCTAATGCCCCTGGGAAAGCAGCAGAAGATACCCAAAGTACTTGGTCCCTTGCACCTACATGGGATACCCGGATGAAGCTTCTAGTTCCTGGCTTCTGTCGAAGTCATTTGGGGAGTACGCCAGTGGATGGAAGACCTCTCTGTGTCTCTCCTCTCTCTCTATAACTCTTTCGAATAAATAAATATTTGAAAAACAAGCACAAAAACAGACTATGTTTCTGACAGTGAGAATAAGGAAAAGAAAAGCCGATGGAAGAAACAGGGCTACTGCCCATGTCAGGTGACCTGTCAGAATGGTTTCAGAGTTGGCAAGTCTGGCTTGGGGAAGGGTAGCATATGCAACTTCCAACTGTTGCCCCGAGTCCCAGAAACACAATGAATTATCACCCTTTTTGAAACTCACTCATGGCTATAGCACCAAAGTCCATGAAAGGAAAAACTCATTACTTTTAACTAAAGTGACCTCATTATGGGATGGAGCTGTCTCCTCTTTGCCACATAAGACACAAATCTGTATGCATTTAGAAGCCCTCCACAGATGAAGTCCCACCCGAGAAAGCACCGACTGTAACCTCGCATCACTGGTAGACCATAAATAGACCGCAGTATCTGTGCGCTCCTCCCATAGGCAAGCTACCTCCAGAGAACGCAGTCCCATCACTCCACTGCTTAGCAACTGCTGGTGAAGAGCTAATGTGTCAGGAGTTAGGTTCTGTGACAACAACCTGCAGGTCAGTGGCAGGAGTTCAATGTCCTTTGAATGCCTGTTGTGACGCTTTCAAAACCAATATGAACCAAAGCCTCAGAACGCAGGAGGGTTAAAATGCAAATGGTCTCATAATCGATCACATTGACCTGTTCCCGGTGAGATCGGGGCCAGCCTCCCACACCAGCCTGACAGCGGATCTGTAACACACTACCGCAGCTATGCAAGGAATGGTGGTTTTCTCTCTCTTTTCGTTTTAGTTAAGCCAAAGCAAAGACGCACTGACATTTTTCTAACCGGTGGGAGATGCTGTAAGGAAGCGGGTCTCTGGGTGGTGGGACCCTTTCCGAGAACATTACCTGCAACCACTGTGACTGGTCATTGTGGCCGGAGGTCCAGGCGTTCACTTTGCCCTGCTTGTCCAGCCGGGCTTTCCTCGGCTCCCAGCTGAACATGTCCATGTTGAGGGTCTTGAAGATGCTGGAGGCAGTGATCTGATAGTCCTGGATGTGTCCCGACTTCATGCCCAGAGGCTCAGAGCAGCCTGAGAGACAACAAGAGGGGCTCCATGAGAACAACAGTCCACCACTCTGGGCTTCTGTGTTCATTTCGGATAGGCAAGAGAAGATCAAACATAATGCTATTCATTCCCCCAAAGAGGGAGCATCTAAATTCAAAAAAAACAAGCTATAATCAGAAATAAATCTAGAATCAAATTGAAAAACAAGATAGCCAATCCAGGCTATTTTGTCTGAATGTATTTTGGAAAAATTGAAAACAAGACAGACAATTCAAACTGCTCTTGGGTGATAGATGCTTTTGCACAATGCAAACAACACGGAAACGTCTCTCCTGTCTCATTACTGCCAGCCTCATGACTGCTCCCTACTTTTCAGCAGCTTCATTTTGTCTTTAGAAATGGGACATTGTCTCACAAACTATGTTTGGTTTGCTTTCATTTGTTTTCTTAATACTGCAAATGAAAATTCCCTCAGTACAAAGTCATTTCCACAAACTGATGGACTGTTATATTCTAAACTGGACAGCACAGCACTTTGTTTTCCAGGAAGTATCTGTTACTCTGTATCACCGATTCCTACAGTTCCAACAAAGCATCCTATGCAACTCAGGGAGCAAATACATACTCAGTGGACACCCGGTGCTGGGCACCGTGCAAATGTAGTGGTTCAATTAAGAGAAAATAACAAAAGAAAACAGACAAAGTCTAACAGAAAACATTACTCGAGAAAGCCTTGTTTATAGATCTTTTATCGATACTCAATAACCTCTAGTGTTATATATTTTTTGATTCTCAACTATACTACATATATTTTCAAGTTTGCTTTGTTATAGAATGCAGGTTTGCCTTTCTTTGAAGAAACCTGTGTGTGTGTGTGTGTGTGTGTGTGTATGTGTTTACATATATACAAAGTTCCTCAATCTTGAATTGCTACTGTGACAAAACCCCATTACAAATTGTCTGGTAGATTGCAAGATAGCATCCTCGTGTAAGCCAGTGGATGGGACTTCTGTAGGGGGAACTGTTGCATTTAGGATAAGAAACTCACATGTTAATTGAGATAAAATAGGAGACTTCCAACCCTGTAACTTTCTTTTATTCAGCCCTTTTGTGACTCAGTTTTCTGTTCTGTAAAAAACAGTAAAAACCATGGAAACTTTCTTGGAAAAGTTTTTTTTTTAATTATTTAATAAAGTCCTGGCAACGGTGTGGGTACACACTTGGCCTTTAGGAAATGTTAGCCTGAAGCTCACTCCAGCACATGACAAGGTTCAAGTCCCAAATCTCAGCCTACTCTTAAGTACTGAAGAATATGCGATCATCGGGAACAATTTAAATCTACGCCACTTTAAGTCTGGGGCCCAAGAGAAGTGGCTCAGGTCTCTCCACGGATGAACAGTTCTTCACTATAATTAATAGCTCTCTGTCCAGGTCTGGATGGCTTCTTCCCACTTGAGTCTCCACGTCTGCCCCAACCTCCACCCCTGGGAGAACTCTATTCAATGCAAGCATGGAAAAACGTCCTGGGAGGGCCATGTATCTTAGGGCAACCCTTGTTGAGCTGCAAGGTGCAAGACATATATCCCAAGCCCCAGAATGAAGATAGCTGTGAAACCTAAATGTAAACTCTAGGCGAGAAAAATAACAAATGCCAAAGGCTCTGGATAGTTCTATTAGCCATCATGACATGCCATTTGTCTTCAGGCAGTTTCAAAGAACGTGCACTGTCTGCATTATAGACTTGCTCTATCCCTGTCCCTTATCCTGGCTGCCCCTGCCTGTTCCTTCAGAACTCTGCAGAAGAGATACAAGGGGATGGCAAAAGGTTGTTGTTTTCTCCTTTTTTTTTTTTGGATACAATGCAGTATTTTGAGGTATCTGATAGGAAAGGGGTACCTTTAAATGAACTATTTTTAGGTGATAAGGCAAATCATCTCATACCCCTTCTGGTGTCTGGCACTCAGCCCAGAGGACGTACTGAAGATTGGTTCTGCAAGGGAGTGAATGAGGCATTCTTTAATTATGGCTGGGATCTGTTTCACTCCGAACCTCTTCAGAGAATCTGAGACAGATCCTTTGTAAGTGTCTGTGAACAGATTAACTGCCGATCTTCTAGGTGGGCAGCTCACTGAATACAGTCAGGGAGCCCCAGGCTTTATACTGATGACTCACAGGGGATTGTAGGAAATCAGGAGTTTGGCCTATGAGGATTTATTTCCAAATATTACGGGTGACCTCTCTGCCCATGTGCCTCAGCCACACAGTCTCCTTCTCATCCACATGACTTCACATGAGTACATTAACTCTTCCGCCAGCCTCAACCGCAGGGGAACAAGTGCAGGATTAGCAGTGGCTTTGTTTATTTCTATACTGGACTGCCCCCACTTCCAAAGGCATCCACCCAGAGAGGCGGCTTTCTGCACGTGAGTTCAGAATCGATTTGTGGGGTTGGAAGGCGGGGCACTGCTTCTTTTTGAGAAAATGAAATCTGTGATGGGTCAGGTGTAGCCTCTTGTCAAACTTGAAAGCCAAATATATTTACACCTGAGGAGTCTAACTGTGCCATGTTTGAGAAACTGACACTCATGAATCAAAAAGACTGAAAAACTGGGGAAGATGCTGTGAAGCCGCTGAAATCTACAGGGCTCGCAGCAGATTGCATCCTACTGAGGCTTCCTCTTGATTGCTCTATGATGAATGGCTGCAAGACGACACTGGCTTGTGGTGATACAGTGGCATTCGACACCAACACTGTGCATCGACTACTGTGCTAAAATGTACTGGCAGTCAACAAGGCAGCTCCAATTCCCAAAATAAGGAAAAGACCTCTGTTAAGGTAATTAATTATATGGAAACCATATGTTGGTCGTTTCCTAACAGACACAATCACAGAATATGAAAATGTAAGTCTTAAAACACGTTCACCCATATGGCCAAGTCACTCTAATTTCTTTCAGTGTAATGTGCTCATTACAAATTGGTTAATTTTTGATAGTAACTTTTATTTGCTTAACAATTATTCCTCTTCCAAAAACCACAAATAAATCTAAGAGGGAATCAGATATAAAATACACGCTTTAACCTTTATTTAACCTCTTAAAAAGACAGAAACCTCCTAACTTTCTCCCTATAGGAACCTGTCCTCCTATTTTTAACTAAGTGGTGTTAAATTTGGTAAAGTTGTTTCTATACTTTGAGGTTATGTTTAAAAGTAGAACAGACATAAACTTTGTTTTCTTCATAGCTGCTTGAACAAAATAATTTTAGGCCACTGTGGTAAAGGTAGCTTATAAATTTCGATTCTGAAAATATAAGAACAAAAAATGTAACACAGTAAAATGCCGAGACAAGATTTTTCAGACTCTAAACTGCATTGAGACAGGTCCACTGTGGGGCCCTCAGATAAAGTCTTCATCTTTGTACCTCGCCTTAATGCTCCTGGAAGACAAGAATTATTTAACTCTGCTTCCTCTGATGGATTACCCTTGAGCTAATAACCACTGTTTGTGTAACACACAGGTCACTAGCTAAGAATGATCCAAGAATGAATTTACAGTTGCAATCTTGGACTTGAAGTATTGTTCCCTAGAGAGAAATGATAAATTTACATGTTTCACAAAATCTTAGAGGAAAAAAAAAAAAAACAGCCAAGTCCTTATGGTAGACGGACAAAGATAAAGCTTACTTTTCTGTGCTACACAGTTTAAATTTATTGCAATTTAGGAGGCCAGGAAGATTCCAGTTTTTACTGATTTTTTTCATATAATTCATCGCTATTTCCAAAAACAATGAGACATTGAAAATTAGAGCAGAGCTTCTCATGAGAATTCCTTGCACTTTCTTCCATCACTTGGCTGAATACAGTACCTTTTCTGCATTAATTCTACTCTGTAGCATGCTTTAGAATTTGTCCTACACACACACACACACACACACACACCACAATTTCTCAACAAATTACACCATTAATATTCTGCAGCAGAAGTACACTTGGGGGCGGGGTGTTAGTGATTGGCAACTGAGAGGACAATTACCCATAAACATGCTTTTTACTTTGTTCAAAGGGAGAGAGGAAACAGCTGAGAGAGACTCACCGGACAGTTCACAGCCAAGGAGTTCCATTCGCAAGGTGCAGTGCCTTCGACAAACTTGGGGATAGAGTCTGACGTACTGAGCCTTGATGGGGGGCGTGAACGAGTTGGCATAGGGTGTGTTGTTATCCACATTTCCACGGAACACCTGTGTAAAGGCATAATGCGAGTGTAAGATCATTAACTGTGACAACTTCCTTGCTTATTTTCATACATCAACGAAATCCTTCAAAGCTGGGATGATGAAATTTGGGGGCGTGGAGTATGTGGGAGGCACCTTCCTATCCTCAGCCAATAGGAGACTCCGAAGTCAAATGCTAATGACAGCCGCAAACCTCTGCCTGACAGGGTGCAACCCATGGCCTACTGTGAAGCTCTTGTCCATCTCAAAGCCAGTCCCTAAGAGCCCCGGGAGGACCTCCCTCTCTTTCTTGAGAAATGGTACTGTACATCCTTTAACAGACTCTGGATCTGTCTGCTCACATCGCTGCCTTGTGGTTCTGCTTCCGTTGATGGGAACCAGTCTGCACCAGTACTTTCCCAACACTTGGTCCTGTAAAGCTGAGATCAGCCTTACCCATCTCTGACAATCACCCAAGACCGCTGCATAAGAAACGTACACATCCTTACGTTTATCTCGGTGACAACCACACTCTCCCTCTGAAACCAAGGATTAACGTTTGTCATTCTGACCTCCTGGATGTCTCATTCTTATCTCCCCTTTTATGTAACCCTTTTATGTAAGTCGGAAAGCTGTTGTTAAATTCATTTACCAGGATAATTTTAAAATCATTCTTATAGCATTAGAGTCTAGTCTACTGCTTACTTATAAATGAGATGACCTGCGTTCCTGACAGCTTTACAACTGAAATTTTTTATCAACAATATAAAAATTGGGAATACAAAACCAAAGAGTAAAAGAGATATTGAATATTATATCCATATTCTCGAAACTATTTTATTCCATTTAATAACAATTTTTCATAATTATGAAATATATAAATCGGGTGTTTTTCTGCTTTAACAATAGTAGTTTTGACCATAAGTTCCCTGACTACAGAACATTCTAATCTATAAAAACAATTCAAATGGAACTGAAAGCTACTTTTAAAATAAAGCCAATCATCAGATACAAGACCATGCTTTGCGTTTATAGGAAAACCAACTAAAGTTTGAAAGCCACTGTAAATTTACAATTTCAGGAGGCTCCTCCTCCTGTAACACCATGAGCTCAGTTACAACACAAAGGCATCAGAAATTTATTTTCAGCACTGTAAGCCTTTTTCCTGAAGACTCCCCTGTCCCTTAATGACCAAAGACCACCAGTGGGGTTTCACTTATGAATTAAGTCTCTTACCACATCTTCGTTGGTGCCTTTCACCTTGTACATGGCCCACGACTTTCCGTCATTACTGTAGGCAATTTTGTAGGATTTTATGTACTCGGGGCTTCCGATCCTCTTGGCTCCCTGGGTAATCACACCGGTAACTCTCATTTTTCTTTGCAAATTTATCTGAAGAAATAAGAGACAATCCATGCTGATCTCGCTGCTTTGGGGATGGCGACATTGATACTACGGATTTTGTGAATGTTTTTTGACAGGCAGAGTGGACAGTGAGAGAGAGAGAGAGAGAGAGACAGAGAGAGAAAGGTCTTCCTTTTCCGTTGGTTCACCCCCCAATGGCTGCTGCGGCAGGTGCGCTGCGGCCAGCGCACCGTGCTGATCTGAAGCCAGGAGCCAGGTGCTTCTCCTGGTCTCCCATGCGGGTGCAGGGCCAAGTACTTGGGCCATCCTCCACTGCACTCCCGGGCCACAGCAGAGAGCTGGCCTGGAAGAGGGGCAACCGGGACAGAATCCGGCAGCCCAACCGGGACTAGAACCTGGGGTGCCAGCGCCACAGGCGGAGGATTAGCCCAGTGAGCCGCAGCGCGGCCTGGAATACTTCTATTAGTATAGATTTAAAATAATACAAAACTTAATGATTTTCATGCACACTTTTCAAATACTTCAAATAAGCACATATTAATTTTGGTTTTAAAATATCATTCTATAATGGGATGTCTTTAAGTAAAGAAATCTTTAGGGTATGTCCCCCTCTGCCCTTCTCCATTGTAGATATAAAAAGCACCGGTTATAGCACGCAGATGTGACTCAGTAAATTGAAAGGTGGGAATATCTTCTTGTTAAAATAATCTGTCATTATTATGAAACTATTGTCAACAAAACTGTTAATGTGTCTCAGCTGATTTAGGTTTCAGGAAATTTCCACTGAATATAACGCATGAGAATCTCACCCAAATCTCTGAGTAGTAATCTAAGAAATTGCAAAGGCGTCATGGATGAGAAAAATAATAAAACAAAATTAAAGTATCTTCAGTTCCTAGATCTTTATACTGTGGTCGCTGCTGAGGGCCAGGTACATACACAGTGGTCATGGAGGCTGGGGACATTGTTTTTACCCAACAGTTGCTTTTCTCTTCATTTTATCATATGAGCACTTTCTAATTGCTATTTCTCCTTCATTCCCAATTTCCCAACAGCTTTCTGTAAAAGTAGCAGATCTCTAATACATTTTAAAATATACTCAGAACAACAGTATATAGCAACCTGTTTCAACACTTAAAAAAGTTAAATGCTGCAGTCTAAGAAAGTGTTTTACTCAATTAAATCTTGTTTCAGCCACTTTAAAGTGTCTTTATTCTACCTATAACATCTTAAACTTAGTAGAAAAGTTCTATTCCAATGTTCTTGATAAAATATCACAATTATCCCTCTCAATTCAAATCAGGAAAATCTAGATGCCTCATATGTAACATTAAGTAAATAATTCAGACTACTTTGTAGAGAAAACCTGCAAACCTTGAGATTTATTGACATGACGTGGGTTTTCTGCTCTACAGTGGGACTTCCAGGGGTGACATGGGTGATGATAGAGGACGCTGGGCCTGAGGACAGCAGCCCACCTATCACTGGAGTTCTGAGTCACTCAAAGTCTTGGCATCTCTCCCTCAAAGACCCAGCTTCCTACTCAAACACTGCCCACAAGCACATCATGGTCATGCTCATGTATGAGCGAGTTTCAAATCTTCTGTCAAAGGTGGAGTGCAAAATTTTAGGGCAAACAAATTTTAAATCTATGTAGACGGGGAGCCTTCAAAAAACTCATGAAAAATTATAATTAAGAAAAAAACTATGTAGGATTTCAAAATGTTTTTATACTCAGCTAAACTTTTATTTCTATTTTCGACATACTTTTTGAAGTACCCTCGTTATACAGAAAGTCTGATGTGTTGATGAGTTAAAGACTGGGCAGGGTAGTCCCCAGCCTCTATTCATGAAAATGTCTTTTCTCACTTTTACAGCAGGGGACTTATGCATACTTTTGCTTTGAAGTTTCATGTTCGTGGTCCTTTTATCTCCAACAACACTGAGTGAATTGTCCCAGTTATCCAATTTTGCTTTTCTCATTTCAATGTTCAGGTATCAAAGTAACAGCAGACATGAGTACACATGAAGTCTCCTTGTTTGGGGGCTCAGAGAGTTTTTACCATGAATGTGCATTTTATATACTATTTTAATATTTTTCTCCACTTATCTCCTCCTTAGCCCTCTACAGATTGACTTTGCACATTTCAACTGTGTAATTTAGAATAGGGAACCCCTCAAAGACGCTTTATTTTGGTGTGCTGGGTAAATCAGCACATTGCAATGGACAGGCAATGCTCTTTTTCTATCTTAGTCTGAGTCCTCCCACAGCCTCAACCTCCGCAGCACATGCAACACACACAGTGGACCCTGAATCACGTTTCCGCCGGTTTTGGAGGCCAAGTTCCACATTGCATATTCCAGAACATGCCTTTTTCAATTATCTTTTATCTTGTCTCAATTATCTTGCTTATACCTCCTGTGGATGGCTGAATTATCTCTCCCAGAGTTTTGGCTGATCAGCGATACACTAATTTTCTGAAGCTTTAACTGTAGGAGTATCATAGAATTAAAAAATAAAACAGAAATGAGTTCATGTTTTTCTCTAAATAATTAAAAATGATGTTTTAAATTATTCATATTTGCCTAATCCTTAGAGACTCTGAATATATATTTTAGGAAGATGGAACTACAGGTAATACAGCATCAACCGACTTGGGCTTTCTCTACTTTCAGTGAGTATTTCTAATAAAGAATCAGCACTGTTTTCATTAAATACAAAATAAAAACCTAAAGAGGATTTGTAGATACTGGCTCTAGGATAAATTTTAGTAATTATTGGGTCTTAAATTATTGACTCTCCATGTGTGTAGCACTAAGTAACTTCAAATTAAGGAATTCAATATAAAGGGGCTAAGATTTCACCATGATGATTGCACTCCAATACCAGGAATCTATGTTGTTTAAGAAATAAACCAAGCCCTGGAGGAAGGCTATTGCAAATTTAAAAATTTTATTTAAAGAGAACAGGATTCATGTATTTCATATGTATAATTTGAAGTACAGAATCTCCACTATAAATATCTTCTGTAAGTAATCGCTTTTCATCCAATCGCAACAGTACTTTTTGATCCCTTGTGAAGTAACAATGGCTCAAAGGTGATTTTAGGTTTACTCTAGCTGTGAGAGCCATCGCAGACACTTTACTAAAGGTCTATTAGAATTGCACTGGACAATCATAAATTACTCTCTGTGAGCTTGAGGGATGCTTGGATATGCCATAAAATATTTTCATTTCTGATTCTGGTTTTAGAGAAATTATCGTTCCATTGCATGGCAAGTCTCCTATGTGATCTTGTAAGCAAAAGTGCATTCCAGAGTGTTTTGAGGGAATGTCAGTGTGAAGAACCTGCCTCTTGAATCCATGGAGCCCGTTCTGAGGTCAGGTGGCAGGCGGAGAAGGATGGACTGGCCTCACTTCCTACCTAGATTATCCTGGACTATTTGTCCAAGATTTTAAAAATAGCATCCCATGTAAAGGAGTTTTTAATAGAACTTGTGGGGAGCAATCCGGACTAGACTAAGTTACTCGAATTAGGACTTATTCTATGCATCTGCTCTCCCACAATATGGCGCTGGGAGAGAAGTAAACAGCTTCCGCACAGCTGCCTCCAGTTCAACCAATTAACTGTAGGACTTGCTCCTGATTGGAGAGCAGCGTACTCAGCCGAGTTGGGATTGGCGGAGGAGGACTATAAAGGAGGAGAGAGACGGCATGCACCAGGAACATCTATGGGGAACATCTAAGGGAACCCGTGCAGCCCCCGAGAGAACCGGCCGGCGGTGTGCCGCTCCCCTGCGGAAGTGGGGAATGCGGCCAGGGGGAACTGCCCTTCCACGGAGGTGGAAGGGATAGTAGTCAACCCGGGAAGAACCAGCAGCAAACCCGGGGAGGGCCGAGCAGACGAAAAGAACAGCGCAGGGTTCAGTGTCGTTCCCCCACGAAGAGGGGGAGCGACAGAACTGTTATACATGATGACTGTACAAAATACATCTGTAAAAAATGTGAGAACACCCATCCCACCTAGAAAGCTCTTAGAGTATTAGGCTTTTGGTTTGATATTTTAATGTTGTTTCTTTTAAAATAAAAAGGAACATTCCTTTTTCCATCTTCTTCCTTCACCTACTTAATGTTGGACAATTTGAAGTTGGAGAGTAATAATTCTAAGAGCCAATAATCACAAAAATCGTATGAAGATAATTTTTCAAAAAACTTTCAAAGCTTTGCGTTAATGAGACATTCAGGGCTATTAAGATTAAAGGCATTTGTATGTGTGCATATGTGCCTGCACCCACAGGCATGCGAATCTAACTATTAGCTTAAATACTGTGGAAATTATGAAAAATAATGCAGGATCTACTATAGGTTTCAGCTCTGTCACGAGGTACCCTCTCTACTCCAGGCCTATCCACCTGGAGTAGCTTAAGCTAGGGCACGGGTTTCATGGCTTCATTTTCCCTCCACATCTACTGTCTGGCACTGAACAGTTCCCTGGCCTCACTGAGCAAAGGCCTCTGGGTATTCTCTGAAAGAACAGATACCCTACTAAGCCACAGAGGCATATTCTAACGACAAAAGCCATCAGAGAAAAAAGTCTACAAGTATCTCCACAAATGTCTTAAAATAAATGCAGAAATTCTGGCCGGCGCCGCGGCTCACTAGGCTAATCCTCCGCCTAGCGGCGCCGGCACACCGGGTTCTAGTCCCGGTCGGGACGCCGGATTCTGTCCCGGTTGCCCCTCTTCCAGGCCAGCCCTCTGCTGTGGCCAGGGAGTGCAGTGGAGGATGGCCCAGGTGCTTGGGCCCTGCACCCCATGGGAGACCAGGAAAAGCACCTGGCTCCTGGCTCCTGCCATCGGATCAGCGCGGTGCGCCGGCCGCAGCGCGCCAGCCGCGGCGGCCATTGGAGGGTGAACCAACGGCAAAGGAAGACCTTTCTCTCTGTCTCTCTCTCTCACTGTCCACTCTGCCTGTCAAAAAAAAAAAAAAAAAAAATAAATGCAGAAATTCAAGAAACAAAAATAAA